GTTCTTCAGTCCTGAGCATCCCTTGTTCTTGCAAACAGCTGGCTACTCTGCCCTGAGACTGGACCCCCAAACTTATTGCACTCATTAAGTTGTTTGGGACTTTGAACTTTTGGTAACTGGCATGTTTTAGCTATTAAACCTTGTTTTGGTCATCCCTCAAAGCATCTCTGTGCTTTCCAAATAGCCTGTTTCCTTTTTCCTATTTCTGCTGCACCACCTAGTGACCGGTCAAGGCCGTGACTGCTTTTCAGAAAGCATTTGGTCCCATCAGTAGGGTTGTGGCTTTGTCTCACATTCACCTGCAGCAGTTGCAATTCATTAAAAGTTGTGATGGATTACAGTTAGTAAATGTTAGGGTGGTGTCACAAATTCACTTGTAACAGTTGCAAATCATTGGAACCTACTGGCCTATTCAAGTTAGAGATAGCCGTCCCCTGAAAGAGAACTTTGCAGTACCATGAGGTCACTTAACACATGCAATACTGCTTGAACATGCATCTGCTTGGCTTTTAACTGTACTTAGTAAGTGTTAAATTAAACATGTGACACTACCCTGAGTATAATTCTCTTAAATCCTAGTTGCACTTCCATATGCATAGTGTGTCTTAGTATCATGGCTACCCACATTTTAAATGTTTTTGAAAAACTTTTTAATTTCAAGACAGTTCAAACTTGTACAGTCCTGGGTCTCTGCAGGTGTTTGCTGGAAAGAATGTTACATCTTTGTTTACTGAGTTTCATATAAAGAAATCTAACTAGATATGAACATATCAAGGGATAGAGCCAGCTGTCATGATTATATAACAGGTTTGCAATATTTAGTGTTTCCTCTAAGGCCCAAGTTCCTGGAGCAAAGTGATCATGACATAATTCACCCCGTTTTCAAAAGCAAGGTTCTGTCCTTCACATCCAGAACAAAAAGCTTGAAAATGTGACTCAAGTGGTGCACTCTGAAATAAAACATGTTTGATGAGCTTTAGTTCAAAATGCCCCGCTGCCATTTTTTCAGCATGGGGATATGCAGGGATGCTGATACACGTGATGCATTGGTGCTTTTAATTAGTGAAGCTCACTAATTAAAGTGCTCAGGGCTGTGTCCTAAAGCACATGTAAAAATGCCCATAGGCTGCTTATAAATGAAATCTTGCCCTTTTTTACTAATGGTATTATCCCACTTTTTACAAACACAAAGGCTTGTTGCTTCTGTGCTGAGCACTGGTTTGATAATTTAGTCATAACTAGCAAAGTACTATTGATTTGTTCCTCTAAAAATGCTGAAGTATTTAAAATAATAAAAACAAATCTTCACATTAAGAATTACCCAGGTTTTGCAGCTGAAGGAGAAGTAGGTCAGAGACCATGCCAAGCAAGCCTAAGAGTATCCCTTCAAGCAAAATAAATGAGCAACTAAAACTGTCATTGCGTTCTTACTATACATTTCTGCAAAGCCTGTATGACTGAGTATTGGAAAAAATGGCAATGTTTATATCTTAATCAGAGTATCCTTTGCACTTGGAGGAGGGATAATGGTAGCAGGGGGGAATTATCTGGAAAAATTTTGTGCCACTGTTGCAACAGTTGACTTTCCTGTAAACAAACAAGCATTATGACATGCAAAGGGCATTGTAGCAATGCAGCATAGGAAAGCATTTTAAGTCCAGCCATTAAACTGCTTAGGCTGCAGCAGAAAGAGACTGGGAGATGGTCTGGATGGTCCATCTGCAGAATCTGTGCTCCTGTTTTACAAGGAGGAGGGGCAGGAGGGTGGGGAGAAAAAGCAGCTGCTTGGCTGTTCTGTGAGAGGGAGAAACTGACTGTTGGCACCATCTGTAGCCGTCCTTTGTGCTTGCTTCTTTATCTGTTCATTATAGTGTGATACTGAATTTCTCGTGCTTTGAGTTTAAATGAGTTGAGATGTGCCTAATACCATCGGCATAAAAAGCAGCAACTAAGTACACTAAAGATGAATAGTGCAATCTGTAAATTCATTTTCAGTCTGTTTCATGTAACTTCAATAGGCACAGGAAGTAATGTTCTCCAGAATCCAGCTGCACCAGATGTGTGTGTGGTGCATATTCATCTTGCCAAACTAACAGCAAACCAGTGCTGTGGATGGGAGGGTTTGCAGCATTTCAAACAGACAATGGCAAAATTGCTGGGGCTGGGAGACTGAGGTGGGGAGGTTCTTCTCTACCCTGCTTTGGTGGGGATAGGGTGGTTTGATATTTCTCAAGACGTTACAAACTAGTCGATTTTCATTCCATTCACAAACACCGATGCAGGGAAGAGAATAATTATTATACATCCTACATGAGCTGGAAATGTCCCATGGGAGGAAAGGTTAAACCTCTCAGTAATGAGTACTGTGATAGGGATAAATACATTTGTTACTTTTATACCTTCAGATCCTTAGTTTCCAAAAACATGAGTCCTCTCCGGATAACTTGTAACCATCTCCCTTATCTTTGAAACCTCACAATGCTTTGATGTTTACATTTCACCTTTACAAATGTGGGCATTTGATATTGGCAATAATAGTAACTCATTAATATCCTTCCCTGCCAATACCCCACCAATGTGACTGTTATCTCTTTTGCACTGCAGAGCCATGCACCATGAGTTACTCTGCCTTTTTCAAAGCAGGTTCCCGGCTTTTGTTTGCAGATTCATGTCCTCAAACCCATTAGGCTGCTGCTTTTTATCTTTATTTGTCAAGCGCTTATATGCCTGCCCTAGAAACTGCTCCCTCCTCACATCAAAGCCACATTTAAGATGGACGGTTTCCATTCGACACCATAGTAATTACACTCAGCTGTGGAAGTGCTCAGCATCCACTATTATTCTGACATGGCTGCGTTTAGTTTGGTGGAACACTTTGTTCATTTTTCTCAGAACTCAAGTGGCCATCGTGTGCATGAAGAAACTCTGTTAGGCAGTGATTTTTATCTTCAGGCAGCATGAAAAGAAGGGGGGACCCTTTGTCACTTGCACATTAGTAATGATATGCCAGGGATAAAAGGTGAGTATAATTTGATCAAATACTTGTTGACAGGTTCCTTGGCTAATAGAGAAGCAGCTTAGAATGACACTCGTTGCTAGAACATTTCAGCAAGGAACACAGTGGGAGAGCTTTCTGTAGGCTACATGTGATGCTAACAATATCAGAGTGACCATATTTAGTTATATAAAGCAACAGTATCTCCTTTTTGTCACAGCAAAGATTTCAAATACCTTCCTAAACACCATTATTGATTTTACATTTGATAAAAGCAATAGAATTGCTATATTCACCACCATATCCTGGTGTGTGCTTAATTTACCATACTGGTGTCATTTACATTAAACATTTCTTATGTATTGCCAGCTAATTTTTACAAAATTTCTAGCATTGCTTATATGGAAAATTCTGTTTTTGTGTGTTCGTGTAAAAATCAAATCATAAGTTTTACACAAGCATAGTTTAACAATTGCCCTCTTTGGAAAGAGTTCCAGTGTAATTATTAGTTATACTAACTTTGAGCATATAATAGAAAAAAGTGTCTGCTTGAAATAATGGTGTCCAGTTGTAAGTGATTATAGTATCAGATTGAGACAATGTAACCATTATGGAAGTCTGGAACTGAAAATAAAACTCCTTACCTGTGTCACTTGGGTTGGTAAACTTGATGTTTTGAATCTCATTTACTTTTAGCCATTAATGCAGTTTGTTTAGTTTTCCTGGCCTTCAGTTAGTTTGGATTCATAACCACATACAGAAACATTTGAATTTAAAAAATAAACAACATGTAACTGAAATTCAAAACCTAAAAACATTTTTATTAGTGTCACATGATATAAACTTTTTTTACAGGCTAAAACCAATGTGTCCCCAAAATGTTCATTTCAACATTTAATGGATGGGTGGGCCCACAGCATGTTTCAGGTAGTATGAAGGTTATCTTATTGCAATCCATCGTCCACCTCTTCACCCCAAAATAACTTTAAAATTGTATTTTGCAATGCCACTTCTCCCAGAAGTTAGAATGACTGCCCCAATGTTTAGTTAAGTGACCATGAAGACCGACCAAGTGAAATTCTGGCGAACTGCAGACAGAGGAGCCCAGATTTTACTCATTGCCATTTTTGGGTACTCTATTGGTAGACCAGTATTCTTAAGTGTGGGTGCCTCAGTAAGAGGCCATATACTCAAAGCTGAGGACCCCTTTCATGGCATCAACAGTGTTAACATTAATGAATGGTTAATGCCTCTGAAAATAAAGCTGTTTATTTAGATGACTAAATCGCTGCTTATGCATATGTTTGTAAGCATAGCCACATATTTATCTGTAGTCTCACCAGCCCTGAGATTAGTCACATATTTTAGGTAAAGTATATGCTTAGGAGCTTTGCCGACCTGAATATGGGTATATAAGAACCTACCTCAGTTTGAGGATCTTGATCATACTATTCTGTTTGCTTGTTAACAGCCAGTAGCTAAAATAGTTATTACAAGATAATTACAACACCTGGTTTTTCTTCTCTAAACCTGTGTCTTCTGCAGTGAGGCTGTAGAAAGAAATTTTCCTTCTCTTTTTCTCCTTATCTACTAGTGATGTCTTCCCATCATCTTGCCCATGTTAGCAGGGCAGCCTATTCTTTCACAATCTTGACATCTGGAACAGCCTTTCGCTATCCCTGTTCCTTATCCATCCTCTGTCTCTTGAAAGCTCAGCTATGAACATCTCTTCTTCCTGCCACATACTCAATAAAGTGGTTAGGGATACAGTTCATATGAAGGATACTATACAAATTAGTTGCATCATAATTATGTTGCTATGATAACTGAAAGAAACTATAGTAAAATTGATCACATAGGATAACAGTGATAGCCAGCCTGTGGCTGGACTGTAAGGCCTACAATGTCTCTTTTCAGCTTGACTAATGTGGATAAAACATCATGCATCTTGACACATTGTGCTACTTATTCAGCTGTACACCTTCATTTTGTTCTGTTTGCTCAGCCCTGCTTTCGTCGTGGTGTGAGGAGTTGGGACGGCTCTTGCTGCTTCGTCACCAGAAAAGCCGGCAAAACGATCCCCCTGGGAAGCTACCCATGCAACCCCCCATGAACTCTATGAGCTCCATGAAACCCACGCTTTCTCATAGGTGAGTCTCAAATGAGCCTGCCATTTTAAGAGTAGAACTATATGTAAATTCATTATGGTGAGAAATCTTTTAATTGAAATGATTATTACTATTAAGAAGGATAACTAGCGTTTCATGAGCAGACCTACAGGTAGCGGGAGGCCTATAATATAGCACATACTATTTAAGCCAAGATTTCACCATTGCTAACTATCCAGTGTGTGATGAAGTCAATTTCCTATCTCCAAATCAGGTTTGACAGAGTCGTATGCACTGGCCCTTCCGATACTAATTCTTAAGCCCCAGGTGAAGAGTCTCAGGTTGCCATGCACCTCCCATCAGACGTTCTCCCTTGACCTATTCAAAGAACACTGTCTTCTCTTGAGGCAGCATTTCACTGATGTTTACTTTCTTTGATTGCATTAGAAATACTTGGCCAGATTAGAACAGATTAGTTGTTATTCCAGTGTTAATATAATAGCTGTTGCCAGGAAAATGAGAACCTTCACTACATTTACCTTCTGTTGGGTAAAATTTAGAGAACCATGATCCCGCTTGAGAAGAAATGTGAGTTGTAAGGTTGTCTGAGGAGAGACTAATATATGAAGCATATGAAGTCTCTGGGTCCAAAGTAGCTGGGAAAAGAGTAGCAGCATTTCTCTCTGCAATGGATCCAGGTCAATGGGTGTGGAGAATTAGTGTGCGCAGTACCAAACTTTATAACTCCTAGTCTTAAGTTCTCTGGAGATGGCAGTCTTTCTAACTTTAATATCACCGAAGAAGTATAATTGATAGCTGTTTATATTACAGCTTGTATTATTTAACTAGTATAACATTGTATAAAAATTTGAATATCCATTTAAATTGTTCTTGCCCAGATACTGTAGTAACACAATACACCTGGAATTATTCCTGCCCAGATACTGTAGTAACACAATACACCTGGAACTTTGGGCTAAATTGTGTTCTGGTATGTCAGAGTTTAAAGAGCAGTTTGCACTTCACACCAGTATTTTTTCTGTATATATTTTCTGTTTCAAGTCAGTTTTTGTTTTGATTTCCATATATTTGTAGTGCATTAATGGCTAAAAGTATAGAAACTTTCCTCTTTATTTTGACCATTTTTAATACCACTTTTCTACTCTAACTTATTGTTGACGTGTGTGGCTGAACTGCTGTGTTTTAATTTGGCATATGAAATTATCTGAATATAAGCAAACTTAATAATAATTTTAAAAACGCTCTAAAATAATATTGGAGTGCTGGGACCTGGACTTTGGAGAAACAACTCTCCTCGTTACATGATCCAAGGTGAAATCAGCAGGAAATATGCATACTAACACACTTATTAGGAACCAAAAATGTCTTGTTTAGCAGCTGTCACTAGATACGGGTGGCAGCCCCAACTCACGCAAGTGGAAGGATGCTGTTAACTAATACATCATTACTTCCACAGGGAAGAAAAAGGAATGGTCCAGTAGTTAATGCTGTAGCATGGAACTCAGTAGACAGAGGGTCTGTTGCCTCTTCTGCTGAACAAAGCACTTATTAGAGCCAGACTTTAAAACAATATTTAGATGCCCAAGTCCCATTGATTCTAAATCTGTCCATTTGTCTCAGTTCCCCATAACAGCACTCCCCAACTTTACAGCTTGTGAAGATAAATACATTGATGGTGCTTAGATACTACAGTAATAGGACCACATAAGTACATAAGATGGAAAATTCAATCTTTAACTTATCATGGCTCTTCTTCAAGGAACCAGTCTATAGCATGAGAATGTGTAGGTAACATTCTCAGTGAAATCTAGATTTACATTCTAACATATGGGTATTGGTATACCTGACTGTCTTCTGCCAATAGATATGTTCCATTTATCTACTGAACAGTGGGAATGCCCAATTTCAGGCAGCCTCCATGTTTCTTACTCTCTCTTGGATTATTGCCTTGAAAGGGTTTTACTTTGGCTACCATTGTGAGATTTGTTCCAAGTCAGTCTTGTTAAGTGCTGGGTTTTCTACTGGAAACAACACTTATGTGGCATATCTTCATGTAGCAGAGCAATTTAATGTGATGGCATGCAGCAGCCTGTTGGATATTTGTAATACCTGCCCGGCCCTTAAGCACCAACACTTTAGAGTGTGCACTCATTTAAGCCATAATTTGAACCCTAATATGACCACTTAAAATTGTATCAGATGGCTGGTTAGAGTTAGATGTTTTCCAACTTTCAGTATCCTTTATTGGGACTGTTCATTTCCATGATTATTCAACAGTGAACCTTTAAAACAGAAATTAAATGTGGGGTATGCAATGATTGTGATTTTTATTCCCATTTTATAAAATAAGGGATGACTAGCAGCTATTAAATAATACCTCAAAGGTATAAAGTGTAGCTGGATTTAAGAGGCAGTATTTGGATCCAAACTTGATTCTGGTTTGAATTTGGGATTGAATAATGTTAAGATCCATAAATTAGATTCAGTAGTGCCAAAATCTCTTGAGCCATTCATTCTCAAGTTTTTGGCTGCATCTGAACTGGTATAATATATTACTAAGTTCTTTGTAGAAATAAATTAATGGAGTCAGGTGCTTTGTAGGGTTCATAAAAGGGCTAGATGTTCATATGAACTATGAGGCCACCCACAGTTAGGTTATAAAAGGAATATAATAAAGTTTCAAGCCAATCACTGAATGGTCATTGGTCAAGAAGAAACTTCCCTGTTGGCAGATTATACCAATGTATCCCTTATGGGTTGTGTGTCTTTCTTAATGTTACTGATGTGTATGCTTTATTATTATTACCATCTTCACCACCCCCAAAGTGCCTGAAAACCTGTGTTTGGACAAAGACACAATTCTCTTTGGTGTTCAAATGTAGAACAAAAAGATGGTCCATGCATTCTCCTATTATATCCTGACCTATTGTCTGTAACGCTGCACAGGTCTCTCATATTTTTGCAAGTAGAAAGTGGATTATTTCTGGTTTGGGTTCTAACACAGAAAAATACCATAGGAGCCTGGTTCTGAGGATTCGTATCTGGAACATGGTAGGCATGTGACTTTTAAAAGATTGCAGGTTAAAGATTCGCATTGGTTTATTTCTTGTGTAAAGCCCAGTAGTTTTCAAAAAAATGTAAATTGGTTTGAGAGAGAGTTGAAGTGAACAGACCAATAGGTTGTTGACAGTCATTTCTGCTCAAAGATACTTGTGGTGCAAAGGATGGGGAAAAAAACAGGGTGGAGGTTGTGCATATTAAAATGTTGTGCATGTAGATTTTGACCACTGTATCATGAGCTTCTGGTTGTATGACTCTGAGCATTATCAGCAGTCCCTTAATACAAGGATGACAGTCTTCCAGGAAACAGGGAAGTCATCAATGAATCCATAGACGACTGAGGCTAGTCTGAGATCCATATGTTCTACTTCAGACATAGCAAATAGTTTGGGGGACACAGGAGTAGATCCTAGTAGATTCTGACTACAGTCCCTCTCTGTTTTGGGTTTGAACAAATATAAAATATACTTCCAAAGTTAGAAACAATGCGTGCTTAACTGTTTCCTATTCATTATTTTTCAGCAGCAAAGTCGCTAGGAATTTAGCATTAAAGTTCCATGCAATCTGAATTCTTTTAAAAAAACAATTATCCTCCTTTGTTTTTAGGATGCCATCTGATTAAACTGTAAGCTCTTTGAAAGAGGGACGGTATCATCTATGCCTCATGAAAAAACACTGTTTTATATTGTGTTGTGGCCTAGTCTCCATTGCAGCTGTGGATGCCAGACTCATGAATTCTTTTCCAGTCTCTCTCAACCATTCACAAGGGTCAAATCCATGCTGTTCAGAGAATGAGCATGTGACCTATTCAGCACTTCAGTCCTACTCTAGTCCTGCCTAGAGGATTTAGATGGGTCTGAAGCACAATGTTTAGTCCTTGGGTTGGCCCTGTGTTGTACCGGGGTTAAATTGTATTCTCTGTGATTGGACAAGTGACATAAGCTCTCTGTATTTTAACCTTCCAAGTCTTGATAGGGTCTATAATTCATACATGCTTACCACACAAGGTGGTTGTGTTCTAATTAATAAAGCACTTTCCTTTGTGCTGTATAAGTACACATTTTTTTTATTACATTATCTTCATTTTCATTTTGATCAAAGCTAAACTTAGCACTTTTATTAAATGATCAACCTTGTTATCTGAGGATCAGATTGACTCCTGCTTTGTAATGGCATAGCTCAAGCCAGAGTTAATGGGAGTTGCACCTTATTTCTTTCTGAGATGAGTTTGGCACCGTACAACAGGAGGGCACACATTACAGCTTGCATGGCACATACTAATGTTTACAGTGTCAATGACAATGTCTAAAAACGCACAGCTGTTAGCTGTGGTCTCATATGTTATCATGAGTATTCCTTGGTTTCTTTTATCGTCTCTTTCATTCCAGATTTTGGCCTTCTGAATTAATTAATTGGCAGCATTATTATAGCCAATCTGCCTAGGGCAATCAACATTGATTAAAATAAAGGGATAAAGTTATTTTTAATACAAATTATTTGGTTCCAGAGGTTTAGATTAAATTAAACAGAAGATCAAATTAGCCAGTAATTCAATTTGGCCTAGGTCCTTTATTTATTAATTATCATTATTATTTAATCTCCAAACAGTTGCTCCAAGTAGCACCTTGGTGCTCTTTAAAATTGTTTTAGGGTCAGTAGAATTGTTTTAGTTTTTGTTTGTTTCATGTTAAATGAAACTAATAACTGGTATATTTTAATGAAAGGTATTGGTGGAAGGAGTTCTTACTTCACCTAAATTTCCTGGATGCCTGAAAAAAAATTGCAACTGGAGAGCTTGCCTCTTTGCCATCACTAGGTGTTTCAGCTAATGAGGACAGTTTGTACCTAAAATTGCTCAACTGGGAAAATAACTGACATGAAGCTCTAGAACAGAGTACAATAGTTATATGTGGTATGATCCTCTGATTCAGAGAATAGGGGCCTTTGCACGCTCATCTTGA